CAAAGAAGAAGAAGAAGAAGAAGAAGAAGAAGAAGAAGAAGAAGAAGAAGAAGAAGAAGAAGAAGAAGAAGAAGAAGAAGAAGAAGAAGAAGATGAAGAAGAAGAAGAAGAAGAAGGAAAAGGAGGAGAAGAAGAAGGAAAAAGAGGAGAAGAAGAAGGAAAAGGAGGAGGAGTGGGGGTATGTTATGAGCACCTTATTTCAACTGATATTGCTTATATGCTCTCCTCTTATCGAAAACATGACTATTGTAATTCTGTTCTGTCTGGTCCAAAATAATACGTGTACCACAAGACTAGATCTAGTTCAGAAAAAAAAGAAGAAAGATCCTACATCAAAATATTATACAAACTCAGCGCTGGCTTCCAGTTGAAAAAAGAATCCAACATAACGTCTCTGTCATCTATTATAAATGCCTTAACAATAATACTCCATTATATCAGAAGGGGATTTTTAACGTCACATGTTCCATCTCGTCAGTTAAGGGCATCCATTAAAGCAACGAAATTCAGAGCCCCTTGAATAAAATTAAGATCTTTTGGAGAGAGAAGCTTTTCATTTTTGTATCCTTAATTTTGGAACTTCTTTCCCCAGGACGTCAGAGAAACAACAAAACTGAATACGTTTAATTTAGCTTTAATAAGGTTTTACTGCGCTTGCAACTGCATTAGGCCATATGAGCGCTAAGGGGTGGATGTCAACAAAGAAGTCCAAACGGGGAATCTGGCTTACTCTGCTCGCCTTTCTAACCTCAACAGCACAACGAAGTCTGCTTCGACTATCAAGACACCCGAGAAATAGCAATTCACAAGAGAGTGACAAACATACAAAAGAAGTAGAGAAAAAATGACTATAGTAAGGATGTGGGGGAAAAGCAGTAAATCCCCCAATGTTGTTCCGGCACAGTATGATCATTACGTTGATAAATCAGCCCATTTACAATTCTATTGTGCATAATAACATGTTAGTATCCCCCATTTTGGAATGGCGATTGCTTGAGACTCATCTATTTAAGTGTTATTTGGAGTGTGTTAGCAAATGCCGATATGTCTTGTTTTCAAGGCTGCTCTGATGTGCATACAATTAATTAATTTGTGGCTGAGAACGTTCTTCATTATGTGGTTGTGCTGGTTGTCTTGTTTACATGCAATGATTTTATTTTCTTATATGAATGAAATTTTATTTTAAGCAGTCATGTCATCGATGTAAAGCACTCAGAGTGTATACTTGTACGGGATAGAGGGCTAAATATAATAATTGCAATCTTACTTTCTCTTTCCAGAACCGACCAAACCAGACGAGTCAGGGGAAAAGGCCCACAGAAAGTATGGACTATGAACCAAACCCCGATGTTGTCCCCTTTCAGCCCGCCAACTTCATGTAAGACAGGCACTATCATCATCATCATCATCATCATCATCATCATCATCATCATCATCATCATCATCAAGGTTTAACGCTCATACTGTAAGATTGTTTAAGAAGTGGATTTAACGACCATCTCCTGAGAATCCCGACCAAATAGATGTAGAGCCTTAAAACTCCCCAAAACAACTCAAGTTCCAACCAGATGCATCCCCTCCTTCGCTCATCATGATATCAATTGAGCTAGCGATGCGCCCTTTTCAGAGAACGAGCCAGCTCGTAGAAGACTGTCTATGATAATACTCATAGGTTGAAGGTTTTCTTTCTCTGCTATCCTTTAGTTTGAGTTTGACTTTGAGTTTGAGTAAACAGAAGCACATCAACACAATAATGGCCATTTAGTGCAAGGAAAAAGTAAGACAGACAGACAGAAATAGCAGAGAAAGTAAAGACGTAGGACCTACTAGTGGCACCCTCCAACCACCCGCTACCATCTTTTTAAAAAAAGGTTTTAAAGAAGAAACATTGGAGTTGCACTAAGTAAACATGTCCAAACAAAGACCAGCCCTTAGAAATTCACTCAAATCGCAGGAAAAACGACATGGCCATTTGAACGAAATGTAGAGAGCGAAGACAGCTTAAAAGCCGTTACAACAACTGTTATGGAACTGTTATGCACATATGTTATGGAACAGAGGACTGAAGTGGTGGAGTCGTTAGAGAGCTCAGGTTCACAAAGAAGTTGACTCGGCTCAAAAATAAGGGGTGAGTGGGTTGTGTCCTCAAGCTAGAGAAAAGAAAAACTATCTTAAAAACACGGATCTTCACTTTAGAAAACACCTATAAAGTGCCAATGTTGCGGTTTGTTGTCCTCATTATGTTGACTTTTATGCACGTTGTGGGTTTTTTTTTTAAGTAATTGTCATACCCATTTTTGTTCTTTCTTTGGCAGACTAGTACTTGGCTTAGTTAGTGTTTTTTCTGAATTTCAACACAATAAGGTCATAGAAGTGCCGAAGATCAGAGGTGTTACAAGAGAGTTACAAACACAAAAAAGAAAGAGAACAAATAAGGAAGATAAATATTTGACGGAAAAGGAGCAAAGCACACTAGAGCACTCGCCAACCAACTGCTTAATACGTACATTTAAAAAAACCCAATTTATGACCGTAAATAACTGAAAAACAAACAAACAAACACCCTCACAGTTTAGGTTATTTTGATTGAAAAGAAACTCATATTGATTATATTATAAAGACCATTTAGAAGTGCAAAAAAGAGCAAGACTAATAGAAAATACACAGCCAAAGGAGAATAAAGAAGCAAGATCTATGCTGGTGGCACCCGCCTCCCCTGCTTCGCTTTCAGTAGAATGAAAAACGAGAACACAATGAGGTAACTTTAACGTTAATGAAAATCGAAATACTACTTCCCCGTTGGACAAAGCCTAGAAGAAGAGTGTTATTCTTAACAGGAAAAACAGACGGTAGTGTAGAGCCGGTATAAGAATATGAGCCTCAAGAAAGTGCTTATTCAAGAGGGTGCTCTTTTATGCTGATGTAACTACAGTGTATTGATTTCCGACGTTCACAACAGTGAGGAAGTATACTGTAATTTGCATGAAAGGAAAAATAAAGTCTTAGGATGCTTTGAAGACTGTGGCTACGCAAATGAAAAGAAAGAGAAAGTTTAGGGCGTTTCTGAAAAAAAAAACACACTAACCAACAACAAAAAAACAACAACACCAAAACGACAACCAAAAAAAAAACAACAACAACAAGCAAACCAACAAACAACCAGGGATCTTCACCCAGGAAACACGTATGAAGTGCCGATGTTGCGGTTTGTTTTCTCATCATCATGTTGACTTTTATGCGTGTTGTGGCTAAAAAGAGCCTTATTAAAAATAAAGATTGAAAATATGTATGAAAAATGATTTTATGCCCTTTTTTTATTGAGTGCCCCCATATAGAACGTCTTCAAGCACTTTCAAATGACTAGAACGCGTGTCTTCAATGAGTCGAGCATCTTTTCTTGAGTCCTGGCAGCACAACAAAACTATAAGCCATCATTGAGCTTTTTGTTCTTAAGCTACGACATATTATCGTGAATAAAGTGAGGCGGTACGATCCGAGTGAGTGCCTGCAGTGTCATCTGACGTAGTTATGGTCAAAGAGATAATAAATAACATTGTTTAACCAGCACAAGACTATCACTCTCTGACGACGAGATAAGGGGTCAGTCTAGACAGTGGGTGCTCTTTCTTCCGCGGTGTCATTATATTATTATTATCGGAAAATACGAAGGGGGGACGCAGGAAGTGGTCGTTTAAACAGATGATTGCTTTGGACAGGTGGTTGTTAGAACAGGTTCAACTATGTACCCCATCCTCTGTTGCCCCGCTAAGCGTCGAGGGGAAGTGCAGTTTTCTATGGTAGGCTAGCTCTGCAGCTCTTTCAGTAGGGATATGATTTCTCATGGTTTCCGTGACACCCTCAATCCACTTTCCTCTTCCTTTATAGCCTAAGTTCTTGGTGTTAAAGGCTCTCGAGACTGGCTGGCTAGGTGACGTACGTAACAGGTGGGCAACTACTGATGATGATATCTAAAAACAAAGGAGCAACTACTGATGGTGATATTTAATTCAAAGTCGCTAATTTAGAACGAAAATACGAAATTTATTCATGGTACAAGGCGAGCAATGATTGATATGGCGGGCTAACACGGGACAAAAACAAATAAATCTATATCGAAGGTATCTATAAATGGTACAAGGAGTCGTTGTTAGATGTAGCAGGGCTAATGACAAAAGAAATACGACATCGTTTCTAGCTGTGACACATGTTGATAGTACAAGGTAGGTATTACTATAAAATGACGAATGCAAAATGAAAAAAAAAATTTTTTTAATATACAGTTGGGCAGCTATTGTTGGTACAATACGTGGTTTGATTCAGCACAGCTAAAATAAGGAAAAGAACCACTACATATACAATAATTGCAGTTAAACCTGCTCTAACGGCCACCTGAACAAGACAATCACAGGTAGAAATAGTCACTTCTCATTTACTCCCGTCCGCTCTTTTAAAAAATGTGATGCCACTGTGTAAGGCAGCCACCTATCTTAGACGGTCACACTTCTCCACGACAACGAATAGGCGTTTTAGACGATTTCGACAGCAAATATGTAAATGCACAATAGGTAGGGGTCCCTTATGGGTGGTACGTTACATAGTAAAGCACTATTCAGAGATTTGTTTTCAGCTTTTGACTTGACGAAAAAGTAATTTTCCTAACGAAAAGAATTCTACATGGTCTCAACAGTCGCAGTAACACAGTTTTTCCTCCACCTTTCCAAAGGTAGAGTATGGCCATCGTATGTAAACCTGCTGCGGTGACATTGCAAATAATAATATTATAAGCTAAACGTATCTGTGCCAGCAGTTCACCCATCACAATTACCTTAAAAAAACTAGAGCCTATATTCAATATTCATGCTGCTTAAGCTCCCATGTATCATTGTTAACATACAGGTATATGGTATCTATTTACGCATTGTTGGTTATAGACTGTGCTTTTGTCTGTCTGTTTTGCCTGTCTGTCTATCTGATCGTCTCTTGGTCTGTCTGCATTTATGCTTGTTCGTATTTCTGTCAGTCTGTCTGTGTCCCGCTCTCTCCCTCTCTCTCTCTCTCTCTCTCTCTCTCTCTCTCTCTCTCTCTCTCTCTCTC